CCTTGGCAGGAGGAACCTCCCATGGTGTCCACATACTTGGTGTGGAAGTAAGATCTCCCTATAAACTTAAAAGGAGCCGTTCTTCACTTTACGAGGCAGCCACTACCACAAACAATTTTGCCCTTGATTGGGGTGGTTCTATGTTAGATCATTTTAAGGGGCTATGGAGGGACCTTTTTTGTTTTTTTTGTAGTTGTAGTATAGCAGGTATTCTATTCCAGTTTATCTATTGTGTGAGATGGAAAAACGATACTTAAAACTCTAACTTCTAGAATAGATGTGAAGCATAAGCTTGTGAATGTCTGCATGTATGCTCACATAGCTCGGTCTGCACTTTAATAGGTCACTTTTTCTGCAAGCCATAGACGGAGCAAAATTCTTTCTTGCAGCCACTGGTTGCAGAAAACAAATTTGCTCGATTCCCCCATCAACACAGACAGTGTTGATAGGAGAATCCTTCCCGCGGACCCATTGTGTTTGATTGATCAACATGGGTACATTCAGCCTTGCCCATACATGGTTCAAATCTCGACTGCTTCCTGCTGAACTGGCTAGGATTCAGACAGTCTATAGCGTGCTTAAGTTTGGAGTAGATTCTCATTGGTTGGTTGACGCATGGGTTTTGCATGTTGGGGACTCAACTAAAATTATTGCCCTGGATTCCCAGCATCACTCACTTCCCCCTCTTTAGTAAGGAGGGCAGAGTTGGGGACATGTCTGATCTCTCTAAACAGTCCCAGACTGATGTAAGGATCTTCAAAAAAGTGCAGATTAAGCATTGGCTGAACTGACCCTGTATTTATTTTCATTATCAGTTATGCGGTATCTAGTGTTTTTGTGAGCCCAAGGCATTTTGTAAATGGCAGTGATATATTGTGAGTCTGAATTTACTACTCTTGATTTTGGCAGAGTCTCTCTCAGAAGCTGGCTGGCCAGCCAAGTTTTTGTTTTGTGGAATAAGTGTGGATTTTCTAAAAGACATAAATAATTGTTATTACTATTTACTACATGCTGAACACTATACTAAAAAGTATAGCTCAAAGCTTTAGAACAGAGGTAGGCAACCTTAAAAGACTTGGAGGTCTACAGTGAGGATAATATTTCTTTGATCCCTTGCAGATTTTGTAAGTTTGCCCACTTACAAATAATGAAGATTCTATAGTTTTTATAACCGGTATATTTTAAATGATAGAGATGGAATAACAACTAAGAATATAGAAAAAACACATGATACAAATGTTATAAATTAAGCTGCAGTTCAGTGAGTAAAATAAATATTTGATCCCCTACCAATTAACAATAATTCTGGCTCCCATAGTCTGGCTATGTGCTCATGTGAAACAGATTAGTTCTGTCAACTTAGGAAGATGCTCCTAATGACTACTCGTTATGTGTATAAAAGACATATGTCCACAGAATCTTTCTTCCGTTCAAACATCACCATCATGGGCATAGAGCTGTCAAAGGATGCCCTGGACAACATTGTAGACCTGCACAAGGCTGGAATGGGCTACAAGACCATCAGCAAGAAGCTTGGTGAGAAGGAGACAACTGTTGGAGCGATTATTTGGAAATGGAAGAAATACAGAATAACCATCAATCACCTTCGGTTTGGAGCTCCATGCAAGATTTAGCCTCATTCTGGTAAGGATGATCATGAGAAAAGTGAGGGATCAGCCCAGAACTACACGGGAGGAGCTTGTGAATGATCTCAAGGCAGTTAGGACCACAGTCACCAAATGAACCATTGGTAACACAATACACCGCCATTGATTGAAATCCTGCAGCGCCCACAAGCTCCCCCTCCTCAAGAAGGCACATGTACAGGCCCATCTGATGTTTGCCAATAAACATCTAAATGATTCAGAAAAGGATTGGGATAAAGTGCTGTGGTCAGATGAGACCAAATTTGAGCTCTTTGGCATTAACTCGACTCGCCATGTTTGGAGGAAGGAAAATGCTGACTATGACCCTAAGAACACCATTCCTACAGTGAAGCACGGAGGTGGAAACTTTATGCTTCAGGGCTGTTTCTCTGCTAAAGGTACAGGCCGACTTTACCGCATTGAGGGGCCAATGGACAGGGCCATGTATTTTAAAATCTTGGATGAGAACCTTCTTCCCTCAGCCAGAACACTGAAGATGGGTCATACATGGGTCTTCCAGCACAACAATGACCAAAAACATAAAAGGCAACAAAGGAGTGGCTCAAGAAGAAGCACATTAAGGTCATGGAGTGACCTAGCCAGTCTCCATCCTATAGAAAATTTATGGAGGGAGCTAAAACTTCCGAGTAAGTCAAAAAGCCTTAAGAATTTAGAGAAGATCTGCAGGGGATCAAATAATTATTTTCCCCACTGTACCTGAACAACTTGGGAGAAGTAAAGATCACTGGGCACAGTGTCGCAGTGTTGCCTACTCATATCTGATTATTGAATAACAGTACTACCATGTCACAATCGCGTGCATTGTACGGCAATCATGGGTTTAAATCGGGTGGTGAGGAGGCAATATATCGCCACCTCACCACCTGTAAAAAACACGCTCGGAACGCTTTTCAGAGGAACAGCAGTGCCTGCTGCACTCGTGAATGTTTCCATAGTTGCATTTGTCAGCGGCATCCTTAGGGCTCGTTCACACGTAAAGTTGGGGAGGGGTTAAAACTCTGCGGTTGCGTTGCGGTTTTACCACCCCAAATCCCTGCCCTCTTTTGCTGCTGCCCCCTTTAGCAGCCAGAGGTGTACACATGCTGCAGCAGGAATTAAACCCCCTGTCGGTTTTGGTGGATGCAACTGTCTGCCAATCGCAACCCATTTAAGTAAGTGGGGCAGAACACTCTCATTCACTTAAATGGGTCAGGCTTGGCAGGTGCTACACCCACAAATCATGACGATGTATAACTTCTGCTGTGGTTGCAACATGTGTACACCCCTGTTCTCTGCAACTAAAGGGGGTGCGGTTGTGGTGAGGTCTTGACTATGGGGATTTACCACTACCCCAAATTGCAAATGTAAATTAACTCTTACTGTTCTGAACTCCCTATAAGGCTGCTTTCCACATGGGTGCATCTGCAACTTTCCTAGGTTAGCTGCACTTAGACGTCTATTATATCCTGTGGGTTTGGTGCATTTTTTGAAAACTCACCAAAACTCCTGCATTCAGGAGTTTTGGTGCATTTTCAGAAAGTGCACCAAACCCACAGGATATAATAGAAGTCTATGGCTAAGCACAGATAACCCACAGGAAAGCTGTAGGTACACTGGACTGCAGCCATGGTGTGGGAAAACCGCCGAGCATCAATGTGAAAGCATCCCTATACTATTGTGCTGAATGTATTGCTTCACACTGACTTGAATATCTCTTATCTCTTCTTTCCTCTACTGGCACCACTCTGGAGACTGCTAGACGGGATAAGAGGTAGAGTGCAGTTGGTATCACTCCGCATGGGACTGAAGGCAGCACTACAGAGGAGGCATCGACTTATGCTGCTCTTGCTCCCAACTACAGTTCCAACTTTACAAGTAGTCCCTCTGCATTGCACTCTTCATGCTCTGGGATGGCGGGTCAGCTAGCCCAGACTGCAGTCTACCAGTCACCTCGACACAATCTACTGGCAGATCACGATTTACGGGCTGCTGACCCACGCTTTAGAGAATATGCAGTTTCTGAGTAGACCCTGTGGGACTGTTTGACAAAACTTCCATTTAATAAGCTTTAGTTTAATTGCATTTCTGCATTGCAAGGGGGATAAAATTAGATATTTGAGCCTTGCAGTGGCTTCTGTCCTAGGATCTGGTTTCCCTGCCTGCATTTTTTAATGGATGAGCATAATGTGGATTTTTTGGGAAATTTATCAACTTCAACGTACAGCAAAAATGTGGTGCTTTCAGAGCCGGGTTCACACCATGCCTGTACAGGATTGCAGTGCACATTCCTGTGCAATTAAGACTGCATGTAAAATGCACCCCGTTTGCGATATGCAGCGGGTGTCAATACCATGTTAATGACATAGGTCGCAAATGCAGTGCATTTGCCCGCACTGAATGACACGGTACTTCTGTACATTGAGTTTTAAAAAAGTGCATGCGCTACATTTGGTGCAGTGAAATTTTAGCCATTCAAAATGAATGGGCTGAAATCACAGTACACAGAACTGTAAGTGAATTGCGCAAGAACATACAGTGTGTTCCTGTGCAAATCATGTGTGGGCATGGTGTGAACCAGCCCTTAATTTTTTTTTTTTTTTTTTTTGCCTAGGAGTTCTCAAGAAGTAGCAGGGTTACAGGATCACATAGAGAGAATCTCGTGGGTCTTAACATCAGCCAACCAAGTGGTTGCAGTTAACTGGATGTTCTTTAGTATATGCTATATGGTTAAAAGTTTGTGAACACCTGATATCACACCTTCCAAATTGAGTTCAGTTACTTGTGTAACTACTTACGTGAAGGATAGTGTTAATGCTACAAAATGCAAAGACATTTTAAACAACTGTGCCTTTTTAGCTTTATGGCAATAGTTTGGGCAAGGCCCTTTCTGTTCCAGCATGACTGTGTCCCTGCTCAGAAAGCCAGGTCAATAAAGAGGTTTGGTGTTTAGAAATTGAAGTACCCTATTGAGCACCTTTTTGCATAAATTAGATTGCAATCCTGGTCTTCCTGTCCAGCCTCAGTAATTAACAAACTTTGTTTTGGCCAAATGGGCACACTTTAGAATCTTGTGGAAAGCCTTCACAGAAGAGCACAGGCTATTGCCACAAAGGGGAGGTCAACTCGATATTAATGCCCATTAGTTTAGAAAGGGATGTCCAACAAGTCCATGAAATTGTGATGGTCAGGTGTTCAGAAGCTTTTGAAATATAGTGTACTTACACTAAGCCAATACAAAAGTTATTTATCAGTATTAGAGCACATCAGCCTTTTATGGATCACTGAATGCTGTTTTGCTTTTATTATCCTATGCTTATTTCAGTTACTCCGGTCTTTGCTACTGTGCCCAATGACATGACGACAGAAGTTGGCACCGAAGTTCAGATTCCTTGTAGTTCCCAAGGGGACCCTCTGCCAGTGATAACATGGAATAAGGTAGCTTCTGGCAAATGCGCTGCTAATGTATTTACCCCACTGCATTGCTGTAAGTTTTTAACACAAATCAAAGCGTTACTAAAGCCAGGACCCTGCATTCACTATATCTGGTCTGCCACAGTACACACAACATGGAAATGCAATTATTTTAGTAAATATAAACTGATAAATACTTTTTCTCATCAGCAGTTAGAACAGTCTTGTGACTTCTATCAGTGTCCAGCCGAGTACATGTTAAAGTTTGTAGGAGGAGTTTTCATTTTGCCCTAGGAGGATGCAGAACCCTGACCTCTGTCTGGACAGTGCTGATTGGCCCTGTGCTGATCACATGCACTCTCCTGTAGCTGTCTAGAAATACACACCAAACTGAGCATGTGCAGAGTGACTCCAGACAATATGTCTTATCAGGAGATAAGAGGGGTACACTGGAAGAAGGGGAGGATCAGAGAAGCCAGGATTATACAGCGTTTTTACACAATGCAGAGGATTAACCCCTTAGGTTCCACAATGAGTATAACAAGCATGCTTTACTGCATATACAGACTGATTTTACTGATGTGAGTTTAGTAACACTTTAATGTATGATTTATTGAACAATGAAATCTTTTATATTTTATTCTATTTTTTTTTTTACAGACAGTTAGATGCTATATAAAATAACATAGAAGTACTAGGTAAAATTAATTGAAGATTACATGTGGTAGATGGCAGTTAAAGAAGACTATAGTAAGAGCTTTTAAATACTAATGACCATATAGCAGGTTCCCTATTGAATTTTTGGAAAAAGAAGTTGTGATGGAATGCCTGTCACCCCGATTAAGTGATTCCATCAGAGGACCGCTTCCTCACCGCTGGGACCCAGAAACAAGGTATTTTAGCCGGGCATTGCACCCAAGATTAGATGAGACTAGCTTGGTGCAAACTGGAACACTTTATTGAACAGGAACACAGGTTTTTATATACTTCAGAAATAGGGGCAGTCCCCACATGAATAATAAAACAAATATTACACTTTGGGATAAACAGCCCACATATTAGGTAAGAGCTTGATCACATTATTGTAAACAGTACAGTATTCTAATTAACAGTAAGATAATCAACAGCCAGGCAATGCTTTGATTAATCAGGGAGCCCACCAAGACAGTCTGGCCTACATAGGAATACATTGAACTGAGACCAATGTTACGAGCTCTTTCAAAGAACATGTATAGTTCCAAATAAAAACAAACCAGGAATAGTCTTTAGGGCAGATGCAAGAAAACAGTCACTCAAAAATGACACAGGAAGGGAAATATAACAATAACAGGGGGGGGGGGGGAGAGAATGTGGCAGAAGAGGTCCCTGCAGCCAGTATCTGTGACAGAAATGTAAGCCCTTTAACTCCAAAACATTTGCCTTATATTTGGTGTTTACATCTTGGATACTTGTTTGTTCTGAACGTGACATTTAACTGTGTGCGGCTTTAATTTCCAGCTGTGGAACATAAGTGATTTTTATCTGATCCCTTGTTCCTGATTAGATGACGGTGTGCTAAACCCTCCCTTCTGAAAAATGGCTAACTTATCCAATCCACAAAGAGCAGTGTAGTATTTTTATTAAAGCAGGAACTCATCCACCTTCCTCCTCATCTTGTGAGCGGGCCACATATAAAAGCAGAGAGTCACAAGTATGTGGTTGACATTTCTTCATGCACTCTCCACACCATATTGCTCAGGACATTGCTGTTGACATTTCAGCAGTGCATATCCATCCAAACAGTGTTTGGGCAGAATGATGTGCTTGACACTGCCTGCACAGTCGGTGGAACTACAGAAATGGAAGTCATAGCCACTTACCCAAAACTGGAAGTTATCTAATGCTCAAAAAAAATGTCAGACGTGACTGTTTTTATCTCTTCTCAGTGGGTTTGCCAATTGCAGGCAGTGGCAAGGGGTAGGATGGCTATGGAGAAGGGGGTAGCATAGAGAGTGTACAGGGAAACGTTGATTGAGGTAGGTGTGGTGACTGTCCAAAAAGTAAAAAATACCTCAGACACTGACTTCCATCCAATTTCTGTAGGCAAAAGTGACATTGCTGTGTCTCACTGCTGCCTACATTGAAAGCAGAGTGTTGCAGATTGTGCAGGAGCGCACTCTATGCGGATTTTAAGTAGTCTGCTTTCTTAGTAGGCAACAAGTAAGGCAAAATGACATCCCCAGCGCCTACTCAGTCAGGGAGACTAAATATTTTTTGCATATTCTACTTAAGGAGTTTCAGCTTTTGTTTTATTGTAATCTGAGGAAAATCTGAAAAAACAAAACAAAGTACACGCAATGTACATACAATAGGAATTAGACTAGATTGTCAAGATTTATAATTGAGTTCTTGCTTCTGCAAGAGAGACCAACTAAAACATCCAATTGGCTAATCATACCTTGAGCCCAAGACTTTACTTGGACCTGCTGCTATACAATTACATAATTACAGGTCCATGATGACTGAGTGCATGATCGAGCCAGAGGCACTCACATACAAACATCAAAAGCAATCCTTACCTCTTTGATAAAGGTTTCTTTTGATGTGTGCATGTGAGTGTCTCTGACTCAATTCATTAAACCTGTCGATCATGAAAGCAAGCTGCGTGGATCCATCTATTTGGTGTGATTAGACTGTCATGATTGTGTTTGCCATAATAGTGTACATATGTTTGGATTGATGACTGGTGTGGGATAACATGTAGTAATTGTATAAAAACTGTTGCAGGATGGAATACAGATTACTGAGAGTGGAAAGTTTCACATCAATCGTCAAGGATTGACTATTCGAGATGCTGGCCCAGCAGACCAAGGTCGATATGAATGTGTGGCCAGAAATAACATTGGATATTCTTCAGTGAGCATGGTGCTGACTGTAACAGGTGAGAATATGAAAGGATTTATTCAGTAAGTGTTATAATCTCTCAAAGATAACCTAGCAGCAGATTGGCAGGACCGCCTTGCTTTGGTCCAAAACAAAGCTCAAGCATAATAAACTTAGATTTTGAAGCAAGTGGGGAGAATGCCAGAGCTTTACATGGAACCAGGGATGGTCAGCCCACCCCTAGAACTAGTTCTACCCAGTTCAGTTGATTGTTTAAGAACAAAAAAGAGCTGGAAGAATTTCTAAATGCACAGACCTAGCTATAATAACACCAGAGATTGCTAATCCTGGCAATATCTGATTACCTTAGGCATCAGGAAGGAATTTTTTTCCCTGTTGGAGCAGATTGGGCCATGCTTTATGGGCTCATTTACACTAGCTGTAGGCCTCTGAGAAGCAATCTATGGTGGGCTGCTTTTCAGAGAAAGTTTGATAAGCGGTGAAGAGGCGGGGTTTTTTTTTGCCTCCTCACTGCCTGTTTTAACCATTAAAAGCCCACACCACCATGTGGGACTATTCCATTTACTTGAATAGGTCATATTCAACAGGTTGTACTGACTGCCGAATGCAATGGGGGGGGGGGGGGGGGGGGGATTGGGGTTGGTAAAAAAATGCAGTTTAACCACCTGTTTTTACTATTTTCCCCCACCATGCCAACCACTAGTGTGAACTAGACCTAAGGGGTTTTTGTTTGCCTTCCTGTAGATCAACTGTGGGTGTATGTGGGTTCTGTTTTCAATTTAATTTTGGTATGTTGGTTATAAAAACAACATTAATATATTTTTTAACAACATTAATAGTGACTAACAGAAAAATGGAAACATCCGTTTGTATTCTTAAAAAAAAAAAAAAAAAAAAAAAAAAATCTGACAGGAGTCTAGGACATGGAATTGTGACCATGATGTAAGATATTCTCTGCTGGTGCCACCTTTATTCCAGTTTCACTGTTTAGACTGTAGGTTAAATGAGGAGCCTTGTCCTGCAGTAGTCAAAGCATATGCAAAGCTAAGGTTTTTTTTGGCTTTACATACATTTTAAGATTGTGTAGATTTTCTGTAGTGGCATTTAAACTTTAGGCCCCATTCATACTTGGGCCATTTCTGATTAGATGCAGGAGACCCAGTGGGAGTTAGCTGCAGATAGGAAGCCCCATTGAAAACAATAAGAGACTGACAGCTTCCTCAGCTATTCATTGCCACTCACATGTAATCACTTATGGAGCGATTACCTGCAAATGATTGGCCCTAGTCGCAGACAGTCTGAGGCGTGAAATACTAGACCTTTTGATGTTTCCTTCCTTCATGTTTTACTAATCATTGTGTTATATCCTCCCTTTTGTAGTGCCGGAGGTCAGCCGTACTGGAGACCCCTTTGTTACTGCATCAATTAATGAAGCTATTGCAACCGTTGATAGGGCCATAAACTCAACAAGATCACATTTGTTTGATGGGTAATGGAAATTTGAGTTGAATACTGCTAAAAAAATATTTTATATCTGCTGAGTCAAAGTGATTGTGATCATTTTTACATACACTGTTTAGTTGTTATGCACATTTACAGTATAAAGCAACTGGACATTGTGTATATTTTTGGACATTCCTGGGTGTGAGTAATCATGTATAACGCATTTGCAAAGCTTTCAGCCACCTTCAAGCAGCTTTTCATGAATCTGGTAAATCACCGTTCCGCTACAGTTTAAGAAGAATAAATACAAATCTTAAAGGAGAGGTGTGGGTTATGCAGAAATCAGACCTTCATACTTACCTACTTGCTGCAGCATCTGTGTTGATGCAGCTGTCCAATGCCTGCTCTGAGACCAAGAACTGAGCAATCACATGACTGATGATTGCTCAATTCTTGGTCTGCTCTGAGTGGAGAGTAGTGACTGTCAATCACTGCTGCTGCTTCAGCACTTAAGCAGGCCATACATGGGTCGAATTCCAAACGATTTTCCAATCGAAAACATCATTCATTCTGTAATCTGATGGTACCACCAATTATTTAAAAAATCGGTCGTTTTTCACAAATTTTCCAGCATGCCCGATAAACGAAATGGGGAGGAACCATGAAAATCGGCCGGTGCCATTGCCCCACTAACAGAGCGAAAATTGGTTGATTATTCTTGCGTCTGATTTTCGAATGAAAAATCGTTCGAAAATCAACACATGTATGGCTGGCCTTACTGGAGGGCTGGGCTGGAAAGGGTGTCGGTGTGGCTGTCTCTGACTCTCAGCTGCATACTTAAAGGCGGAACCAACTGTCATTCAGGCAGTGGCATGGATCCTGACACTATTGTTGGTATCCTTCCAGAGTCTGGCTCAGGTCTGCCCTATCAACCGATAGCAGGCAACTGTTCACTATCAGCTGACTCTGGGTCACCAAAGTGCACTCCTGTGATCCACAAGAGAAGTATGGCTTTGGTCATTCTTCTCTTTTAAGGAGTGTAATGACTGTCACTATAAACAAGCTGCTACAGGCTCCTGTAGGCTTCAGTAAGCTTTGGCATAACTTAAAACTTGATGAATGCCTTGTGAAGCCTTCTAGCTGCTTATTTAAAGTGAGAGTCCATACTGCCACCAAAATCTGTATTAACCTTCCCAAACTGGCATTGTGTGGCATTCTTGAAGCTTTAAAAGCTTCAAGAAAACTGAAGCTGGCTGAAAGCTTTGCAAATACAGTGTAAAAGCTTGCTTGACACATTGTTCTAATGTATGTACAAGGCCAGAATAGCCAAGCTTGGTTAATCACAGATGCAGTGGAAAATGAAGATATGGTAGAGTAGTAGAGATGTGGCAGGTGGTAGTGAAAGCCTGCTTTCACTTAGCCCAAACGTCATAAAATAAGCAAAGTTTATTTTTGTTGTATTTTTGATCAGCCCTGATCCACTGCTGCTATAGGCACACTTGTAAAATACCTTATAGTAATCCAGTTCTCGTTTACTTTGCATATCTCAAAAGATGTTTTTTAAGATTAGAAACATTTCATAAATGTTGGATGTCTGATATACGCAGGCTAATGCCAGCTATTTTAAAGGAGAAATACACAAATGTAATCATAAGATATGCTGCAACAAAGGTTTGTTTAAATGAGGGTGTTGTTTTTGATAAATTCTTTTATTGACTTTGTGTATAGTTTGCAGGCGGGGCAGAGTATTTTCTGAATGACCTGATCAGGTATAACAGAATGTCCTTATTTAAACTCAACGCTAACAAGAAACACAGTAGGCTAATTCCAGTTTAGCATTCGTGTGGATGAATAATGAGATACATACAAGAACTATGGTATTTCTGAGGCTGTGCAGCACATTTCTAGTTTCAACTGATACTCTTGTACCACACTAGTTCAGCAAGCTTGCTAGCATGGATGATTGCTGCTCAACATTCTTAAACATGTTGCTCTTTGGTGTAATGCACTGATGTAAAATAACTTTTTTTTTTTTTTTGTTGCTTCTTTTATGCAAGTCGCCCACGTTCTCCGAATGATCTTCTGGCCCTATTCAGATATCCCCGGGATCCTTACACAGTGGAACAAGCCAGAGCAGGGGAGATATTTGAAAGGACTCTTCAGCTCATACAAGAACACGTACAGAATGGCTTGATGGTTGATTTAAATGGGACAAGTAAGTATGTATTTCTGTGAAATGAAACATTTAATTAAAGTACTTCCTGATCAAAAGTTAGTCAGTAATTGCTAATTCACACCACTACAGCTCTGGCCTTGTTTTAAAGGGTCAATAAATTCAATACTTGATATCAAGGCAGAATACCTAAATAGGTATGTCAGCTTGTCTTTCTACTTCTTTGTTTAAAGTGAAATCACCCAAAAAAAAAAAAGTCACAGATTAGAGTCAGAATTTTAAATCAACTATTGTGTTGCAGTATTTTATTATTCAACAATTGTAGTGGATAAAGCTTCACAGCTTTGTTAGCAGACATTTACATACTAACAATAGGCTACTGCAAGTAGTGTCCCCACCGAGAACTTCATATTGAAGTAAGCCCCCAAGTGTATCCTAACTCAAGTTTCCAGTTTTTTTTAATTCCAGCAAATATTATCCTTTTTTTTTTTTTTTTTTTTTAGTGTATATATGGGGTTGTTTGATGATCAGTTCACTCCAGACTAGTATTTTGATTTACCTATAGCAACCACTCAGCAACTATTAGCACTTATATGACTTGTAATCATTTTGTACCTCATCCTTGCATCACTCTAACTTTCTGTGGTTCCAAACATTGATTATTTATATTAAACAAATCCTTGAATGAGGTAAACTCCTAATAGCCTGTACAGTTGTTTGCAAATTCATCTAGATATTTCATTAACTGAAATGTATTATTTTTTTTTATTTTTTTTAGGCTACCATTACAATGATCTGGTTTCTCCTCATTATCTTAACCTGATTGCCAATCTCTCAGGTTGTAGAGCCCATCGAAGGATAAATAATTGCTCCAACATGTGTTTTCACCAAAAATACAGAACACATGATGGCACCTGCAATAACCTTCAGCACCCAATGTGGGGAGCATCATTGACAGCCTTTGAGCGTTTACTGAAATCCGTATATGAGAATGGCTTCAATTTGCCAAGAGGCGTATACAATAGATTATATAATGGATATCCCCTTCCTTTTCCTCGTACGGTTTCAACCACTTTGATTGGAACTCATACTATAACTCCGGATGAGCAGTTTACTCACATGTTAATGCAGTGGGGACAGTTCCTTGACCATGACCTGGACTCTACAGTAGTTGCCTTGAGTCAGGCTAGATTTTCTGATGGCCAGGATTGCAGTGTGGTCTGCACAAATGATGCACCTTGTTTTCCTCTCACAATTCCACCAAACGACCCAAGAGTGAGGAATGGTGCTCGTTGTATGTTCTTTGTCCGATCTAGTCCTGTTTGTGGAAGTGGAATGACCTCCTTGTTAATGAATTCTGTTTATCCCCGGGAGCAGATGAACCAGTTGACTTCCTACATTGATGCCTCCAATGTATATGGAAGCTCTGACCATGAATCTCAGGAGATCAGAGATTCAGCAAGTCATCGGGGCCTCTTAAAACAAGGCATTGTTCAAAGATCTGGAAAACCACTCCTTCCTTTCGCCACTGGGCCTCCCACTGAATGCATGAGGGATGAAAATGAGAGTCCCATTCCGTGCTTTTTAGCTGGTGACTTTAGAGCTAATGAGCAACTCGGTCTAACCAGCATGCATACACTCTGGTTTAGAGAACATAATAGAATTGCTGCAGAATTGCTGAGACTGAACCCACAGTGGGATGGTGATACAATTTACCACGAAGCTCGTAAAATAGTGGGAGCTGAAATGCAGCACATAACCTATGCTCATTGGCTGCCAAAGATTTTTGGAGACTTTGGCATGAAAATGCTTGGTGATTACAAGGGATATGACCCTAATATCAATGCCGGTGTTTTGAATGAGTTTGCTACAGCTGCTTTTAGATTTGGTCACACCCTCATAAATCCTATTCTTTACAGATTGGATGAAAAGTTTGAGCCAATTCCTCAAGGACATTTACCCCTACACAGGGCTTTCTTCTCTCCCTATAGGATTGTAAATGAAGGGGGAATAGATCCACTCCTTCGAGGTCTTTTTGGGGTTGCTGGGAAAATGCGGGTTCCATCCCAGCTGTTAAATACTGAGCTGACAGAGAAGCTTTTCTCAATGGCACACGCCGTAGCCTTAGACTTGGCAGCCATCAACATCCAGAGGGGACGTGACCATGGAATTCCACCTTACCATGACTTTAGAGTATACTGCAATCTTTCTTCAGCAAACACCTTTGAAGATCTAAGGAATGAAATCAAGAATCCAGATATAATTGAAACATTAAGAAGGTACATTTTAACTATATTAGCTCTGTTCAGTTGTCATAGATGATATAAAACATACAGTTAAAGTGTTTTGCTTTTTTGTTCCCATTGATGGTGGTTGAACAGATTTTATTGTAGGAATCTTTTGGCTGTTTAGACATATGGAAAGACTCAGGACTCCATCAATTTAGTTCCAGTATGTTTCAGTTAACTAGTTTGCTCAATACTAGTTCTCTACTGCATGGTTAATATCATAACAAAGAGCATTTTTCATGAAGACTTAAAATGGCATATTATAGTCACAAAGATGTCAGGCTATGGACATGTAAGTCTTTATAAATTCTTAATAAGCAGCACATGGTCTTTAAATAAGGTCCTTAGTGAGTTCCATAGGAGCAAACACTATGGAACAATTAATTCACAAAGTATACCATAGAATCAGTCAAGTCATTCAGGTTGAGTCTTGAGCTCTGATCTCCCGGAGCTCTTGGTAAGTATTTATGTTGGAGATTAGAATGCTGCAAGACTGTCAAATAACTACTGTAACCAGGTAGCAGAATAGGCTGAGCTGAGTATGATACTCATACTGCTTGTGCTGTAAATTTTGAAGATGAATTGCTCCACATCACTGTCAGCTTCAAATGTTAGGACTTGTTTTAAAGCTTATTTACTGCTTGTTAAGAAAACATACATACATGTAAATTAGAAAAGGTAATGACAGAGGGCCAAATGCATGTCTTACTGTTTCAAAAGTACAAAAGTAACATTTTGACTTACAATTGTACCTAGAAAATGTGTGGGCACAGGAGAGGTTGTTATTTTCAGATTTCTGCATTCACACAGCAGACTCAGAGCTATAAACATCTGTGGAGTTTAGCCTGCCTTGTGTGGCATGCCAGTACTGCAGTGGTTTAGAGATCAGGTTTCCTGAGTGAATCAGCGAGAGATTTGGTTTGGTTCCAAGATTACCAGTGACTGGCAGAGCTGTTCTGTAGATTGTAGACAGCAGAACTGGTGAATCTGCAGGGTACAGATTCTCCATGTGACAGACAATTGACAAGGATCAGTGCATGTGTTAAAATACAACTAATGGCTCCTGTATGAGTCTAAAAAAGTACCAAATCCATCAAGTGATGGGGGGGGGGGGGGGGGGGTGTTAGCCAGTTAGCCATTCTTTGAATCAGCAGTGACAATACTGCCAGCCACGCCTACTGCAACAAACTTTTATTCCACTGTAGTGCAAGCAGGAGCAGCCTACATAAGAGTGGCAACTCTGCTCTGAGTGCAATAGCAATACAGCACCATTGCCACCTCATCACAGGAAGCTGCTTTAGGTGGACTTCACTGGCAGGATAAACAGTTATTAGTGGGACTATGCAGGGGGACTAAAGGAGAACTGTAAGTGCCAGTGTACATATTAAGTGCTGTAGCACATGTTTATTAACAGGAGGCTATAATTCTACCTTAATACTTCTACCTTCTGACTGGTAACTATGCGGTAATTTGAGGTGAAGCAATAATTCATTAGAAACAAAGGCTTTAAGTGAGTGACTATTGCATGTGAAAAATATATCATCCTATGTGGTTTCTTGGCATGTGAATTGATGCTATAATTATCATGTGGTAAAATAAACACATTTTACTCCTTCAGAAAATACTAGTTGCTTGGTTGTTGTACTTACCCGGGAGTTATAATATCTTCTGCTATGTTCATCGCAGAACAGATTAAGAAAAGTTAGAAGTCCTTATCTGCATACCTTTTCTGGGTCAACAACTGAAAGTCCTGAATCCAGTGATTTATCATGATAGCCAGGCATCCAGCATTTTTATAAGATGAAGTTAGCATTGACAGCCTCCATGCTTCACTAAAAATAACTCCTAGCAGCTTATAAAATTTAGTTTTATAGAAAAATAAACATGCCAGTGCATGATGTTTTAGTCTTATGTTTCTGTCTTCAGGTTGTATGGATCGCCGTTAAATATAGATCTCTTCCCTGCACTTATGGTGGAGGACATCATTCCTGGGAGTCGGCTGGGACCAACGCTCATGTGTCTACTAACTACTCAGTTTAGAAACGTAAGAGATGGAGACAGGTAAGAATTGGTGAACCCTGGTTACTGTTTGTTATTGTGCAATAAATATTGGCAGTGTTTATCAATATAAAAATAATCCCCCTGCACTCCACTGGTATGAACAAACACAACCCCAAATATATGCAAGCTGCTACCACCTATTCCCAATACCACAGGATGTATGACATAAAAAACAAATATTGGTGAAGCGCTTCACATGAAAAAACTAAATAAGTAAGTACAATGATATAAAAATACATATAAAGTGACCACACTGTTTTGAAAGGTATTGATAACTAGTGCTAAATAATCCCCCCCAAAAATATATAAGTGCTGAAAGTGCAAAACAGGTCATGCGTTTGCTGACTAGATCGTGCCAAAATACAATATATGCACAGTAAACATAATACACATTAACATTGCACACTCTAACAAAGTGAAAAAGTGCTCAGTATGGCCCCTAAGGGCCACAATGCTTTAGGTAATATAACTCCACCAGACTGGGGATCCCTGTAATAATACTCCTGTAGTACCACTCGATCTCCTCTGCCAGGTCACTTATGCCCTCAGATGGTAATACCCCCGGGATAATCACAAGGCCACAGAGAGGTAGACAAAGAGAGCCTCCATAGTGAAATGCCGTTTATTCCATATAGCAGATGAAAACAAGCCAAAAGATAACATTCACAGTATAGCAGATCTCATACAGCAGGTCTCCCATGTGCTGTGGGTGTACTGCAAGGTGCTGGGTGTTCAAAGATGGCGTCTGCCGGAAGTGTGTAACCAGAAGTACGTCACCACGCTCTACGCTTTACTCCACAATGTCACATGGCTTCATCAGGATCCTGAGCATTGTGGCCCTTAGGGGTCGCATGGTTAAGGCGAGGAGGCACTTTAGCCACTTTTGGATTACGATATACAGGTGTGGCATGCTAACATGCATCATGTTTGGAGTGAAGAATTGAAGCACTGACATTGCGGTGTTTGTTTGCACATGATATGTCTAGCACTTTGTTATTGCACTTTATTGTGGATTTTACTTTTAACTAATATTCATACTCATACTAAGCACCTGTCACTTTCAGTTAGAGTGTGCAATGTTATTGTGCATTATTTCACTGTGCATATATTGTATTTTGACACTATCTAGTCAGCAAACGCATGACCTGTTTTGCACTTTATTGTGGATTTTACTTTTAATTAATAATCCTACTCATACTGAGCACTTTTCACTTTCAGTTAGAGTGTGTAATGTTATTGTGTATTATGTTTACTGTGCATATATTGTATTTTGGCACGATCTAGTCAGCAAACGCATGACCTGTTTTGCACTTTCAGCACTTGGCACTTATATATTTTTTGGGGGGATTATTTAGCACTAGTTATCAATACCTTTCAAAACATTGTGGTCACTTTACATGTATTTTTATATCATTGTACTTATTTAGTTTTTCATGTGAAGCGCTTCACCAACATTGGTGTTTATCAATAAACACAATTCATATGCAGCATAAAAACACAAATGAATTAACACAAAAGTAAAAAAAAACTCCAATGATGAGAAGGGATGGCATAGGTGAGTACATCACTGGACCCTGGGACAGGTAAGTGTGTGTTTATTAAAAATCAGCAGCTACAGTTTTTGTAGCTGCTGACTCTTAATAAACACAAAAATGGCTGGAGCTCGGCTTTTAGTCTTTTTCAGGGGTAATGCATTACAAACAGCTGAAATATAAAAATTACAATATTCATTACTTTTTGTACAGTTTCTCATTATCCAATACAAACTAATTTATATGCCTAATATGTGGTTGTTTATTTGACCCCCCCTTTCTTTTAAGAATGTTCATAGTAGGCTTTTCTGGAGACTGCAATTCCTGTCTTGCTATGACTTTAGCCATCTAATTAAAGTAGACCTCCAGGATTTTTTTTCTCTGGGAACAGCACAAATGTAACAAGTTACCTCTGATGAAGCGTATCCCAATGTTCTGCAATTTACAGTAGAAATCGTGGCGGGATACACCACTTTTTTCCTGTGCAGCAGCTAAGAATTTCTGGGGCTTATACAGTAAAGGATCCTGTTGTTCACCCGGCCCCTGCTGTCCACTTAATCTGCTTACTAAAAGGTTTGTAGCCTTTTTGTGGAATGCAAGGCATTCTGTGAATGAATGAGGGGAGATTCTGTTTTTACCAACTCATCCATTCACAGAACTCCTTGCATTGTTTGAAAATAATACAGGGCTTTTGGTGAATGCATAAGGGAAAAGGAGGAGCAGACAACCAGGAGGATTCTTTACTGTATAAACTCTGAAATTCTTTGCTTCAGAGCTAGAAGAAGAGCAATGTCTGTATCCAGTGTCAGTCAAACTGTGATGGCTATGGTACTTTTCAGCAATTGCGCAGCAGCATCAATTGAACATGTGCTGCGCCCCCCCCAAAAAAAAAACCAAATTCCTGGATTTTTACATTAACCACATGTGGTTCTGGAAGGAGAACTCACCACTGTAACATGAAGTACTAAATAACAGTCATGTAGTATTTGTAAAACATAAATGTAAATCATGGATATCATTTTGATACTACAGGTTGTGGTTTGAAAATCCTGGTGTGTTCAACCCTGCACAGCTGACCCAGATCAAGCAGACCTCTCTTGCCAGAATTCTGTGTGACAATGGGGACAACATCACCCATGTACAACCTGATGTGTTTAGCGTTGTCGAATTTCCTCATGGCTATATTGACTGCAAAAAGATTCCCAAAATGGACCTACGAATGTGGCAGGACTGCTGTGAAGGTGAAATTTCATATATCGTCCTTATACAGAAGTGATCGTTTTGAATCTGACGGATTATGTTGCCCATAAAAACAGTTACATGCTTGCAGTTATTTTATGCCCAAAAAATCTAAAGCTTAAAGTGAACCTGTATGTTTTTTCCCTATGCAGGGAAAAGCAACAGGGTCACTTTAAAGAACCTTTCCCTAGCAGTGTATATTTATCCTTTGTTCCTCTGCCACTCCATTCAGCTGTCAGGGGCGAAGAAAATCCCAGGTAACCAGAATAGTAGTTTACACAGGGCTATGTACTCCACATTTGACAGCTCTAATTGGCACTATACTGTAACTTGATCCTCTACACCCTGATATTTCTTTCTGCTCCCAGTTCTGAATGGTGTAGCCGGGGGGCAAGTGATCAACGCACAAGTTTTCTAAGTGATTGCACAAAGTTACTTTGAAAAAAAAAACCCATACATTTGCTGGTTGGTTTGGGTTCGTTGGACTTTATGTATGTGTGCCTTTTGAACCAGGCTAAGTATGTAACTGCCTTGTGTATTTAAAGTAGAGATTGTTCATCTTTGTTTAGTGTGTTACAAAGTCATAATCGATGTCAGGTTTCTTTTGGTGTTGGTATCTATGCTGGGGGGATTCCTATGTCCCAGTGACACCAGTCATTAGGACAGAAAGTAAAGGGAAATGTCCCCTGTAGGGACCAAGACTGTAATAGATCTGGACCATTTTGTTTTTGTTTTGCATGAGATCCACTTTAAATAACCCCAATAGTATGGTGTATGTATTTCAGTGTTGGCTTGTATGTATTCAGATTGTAGGACAAGAGGACAGTTTAGTTCCTTCTCGGGTCACTTCAGAGGTAAACGGTCTACGGAACACAGCTATAAGAAGAAAAAAATCAGGACCTTCCTGTCACTGAAGAGGAGTCCAGGTAATGTAAATGTTATTGAGAAAAGAGAGGTTATGACAAATGACAGAATGTTTCTGCAAAACATTTAGTTAGAAAATCCTTAAAGGGCAGTCTTTAAAGTGGTTATAAACCTCAGAAATAAAATGTGAAGAAATCATATCCCTCTATAGTATGTACTTGTCTCAGTTAAGAGCACTAAGCGTCATTTCTGTCTGCTGCTCCATTCCTCTATCAGCATGAATCACTTTTGACAAGTTGACACAGGAGGGACCTCCAGCAGATTGACAGCCTCAGCTCTTCTTGAGTGCTGTGTGAAGGGGGAGTTTAATTTCTCTCCAATCAGCACTCAGAGCTCTCCACACTAAGTTCTGCAGAGTGTAACTTCATCTCACTGCCTCATTTTTTTTTTTTTTTTTTTTTTTTAACTCTCAGACAAGCTGTAGAATGGATGTAGAGAAGACTGCAGATAAACAGGTACAACCTATTGAGGAAGATTTGTTTCATTCTTGTGTTTGACCGGAGGCCAGTTGCTTCACTGGGTATATGTAAGGGTTTACAACCACTTTAATAATTATACCTAACTAAAAAAATTTAACATTTCAATTTTAGTGATGAACATAATTAAAAAAAAAAACAAAAAACCTGTATGCATTGCCATTTGTGCAAGTGCACAATATTGGAATTTATTTTGTTGGATTAGGTGCATAAAGGTGAGTGCTTTATACTTGTTCCTCCACTCCACAGGGTTCCAGGATATTTCAGGTGAATCTGCAAAATAATAATTTTTTTCTTTTGCGTTTCTTTACTAAGCATTCAGTTTCTGTGTCCTTGTCCAGCTTGCCAGAGAATATTGTAAACACAACTGTAAACACCAAGCAACCAGCCTGCCTGCCACCAGCGATTGACTTCAAAGAGTTTGTGCTTGATTTGCAAAAGACGATAACAAGTCTAAGGAAACAGGTACTCTTGCATACAGACAATACATACGATACCAAATGTGAAATAATTTATGGACATAAAGTATATCTTAAACCAAAATGTTTTAAATTCTGGATTATGGGAGGGTTTAAAACCGTTGTCAGGTGGGTTTTTTTTTTTGGTCATTTATGTCTCAACTGCTGGATGTCATGGTAAATGAACTCCCATGTGCATGTGTGGTAGTTACATCATACCAGCTAAGCCATACTAGATGGTTGAAAATCACAAACCAAGAAGATGTTGGTGTCAGCAAGGGAGCTTTTAGATGTTACATCCTTGGAGAACCAAGACTGACTGACTGACTACTGAATGAATATATGACCTCTGATAGCTCAGTACTTGGTCTTCACAGATAAAGAGCCTTGACTGTCAGTCACCAGCTGTCTGCTCTGATCCTCCAGAGCTCACTGGAATGCCAGGCTGCAGAGGGCCAGGGGGCTGGCTCAGGCTTTCAGTGGCTTCTTGAGAGGCTGAGCCAGTTGCTGGTCAGGCATCTGGGTGGATCCTGACCTTTAAGTTGGAATCCTTGACCATGAACGGTCTCTGTGACGTCAACCGACAGCAGGCTTCTGCCTGCAGGCAGCTGAATCTGGGTCACAGGATTGAAGAAAAAAGTGCATTCCTGTGACCCAGAAAAGAAGTATGGCCAAAAAAGCTTTGGCCATACTTCTCTTTTAAACTTTTCTGGGCAAACGCAAGCTTCATAGGTCATTTTTATAGTGGTAATGTTTGATTCATAAGTGCCTGGCAGCTCATTTTTGTTTTTAGCTGTTTGCCTGGAGTTCAGCTTAAAGCCTTATGGAATAATCCATTAAAGGTACCCATAGCATTAAATGTTGCTGATTCAGGTGATAGTCTTTGTGTTTATAAATGTCATCAGACAGCACTAAACACCCCATCTGACTAATCTCTGGGGAATTTCTGGGAGATTGTTGTTGCTTTTCTAGTACTTGGAGATATGTGACTGCACCCCCCCCCCCCCCCCATATCACATCAAGGTCATGTGAACAGAAATTTGCTCACTTCAAGCAGGTTTTGCATTTCTATACAAGTACTGTATATGTGAATGCAGATTTGCTTGAAGCAGGCCAAATACACCTGACAATTAATTTTTAAAGCGAAGTTCCACCTGAAACAAAAGTCAGCAGCTACAAATACTGTGGCTGCTGACTTTTAAAATACAGCCACTTACCTGTTCCTCAGTCCAGCAGTGCCCTTACCACCTCTGGTTTTACCTTCCGTCTTCTCTCCCTGGCACCGGCATCTTCAGTTTGGGCACCCCGGCTGTGACAGCTTGCGGCTTCACAGCCGGGTGCCCACTGCGCATGCGCAAAAGCACTGCACTTTGTGAGTGGGCCCCGTAGACCTGTCGCGTGTCCCAGAAGACTATGGGGATGGAAGGAGAGAGGACAACTTTCGCTTCCGATTGCCTAGGCGCCTTAATGGGGAGTGGAGGACAAAGGCTTAAAGCGGAACTTCCATTTTTGGGTGGAGCTCCACTTTAAATACAAAATTAATTGACACATGCCCTAAAGAACATTAACACATGCCCTAAAGAATATTCAGTAGATAGATGGTGCCCGTGCATCCTTTCACAAACTGATGTCTTTGTCCAGCTTCATGTACTGCTCTTCAGCTTATTGTCTTTTTTTTCTATTTTCAGATCAAGAACCTCGAATCTCGCTTAAGCAGCACAGACTGCACTGATGAAACTGGAAAACCATATGCCACTAACGAAAGATGGAAAAAAGATCCTTGTACAAAATGTGAATGTAAAGTAAGTAGCACTAAGAAATATCTATATATTTATATAGCTATATATTTGGGACACGCACACACACTACAATATATGTATGGTCACAATTCAGTGGGAAGTGAGCAATACGTTGTGTTGTCTTTTCTCTGCATCACACTGTATATAGAAAATGCAGGTACATTATTGAAATATTGGATTTGGGGTGAACATAAATACACCATGTGGTCAGTATCTTGGTGGAGCACAGGGTTAGTTCACCAAAGAAAGTTGGACAGTTTTAGTGGGGAAGATCTGCTCACTTTTACCAACTGTTACAACAAAATTTGACTGTTCTTGTTTTTGTTTTTTTGGGGTTTTTTTCAACAATCACCATAACCAGCTTCACTTTTCCAGAAAAGCTTTCCACAAGATTTTGGAGAGTGTCTGAGAATTTGTGCTCATTTAGGTCAAGGTTTAATGAGAAGACCTGGCCTGAATTTGGTGTTCCAACTAATGCCAAAGGTGTTCAGAAGGGTTGAGGTCAGGGCTCTATGCCGCCCACTTGACTTCCTTCACTCCAAACTGTTCAAGTCATGTCTGTATGGAGCAGGGTTTGAGCACAGGGGCACAAATCATGGTGGGGCATAAATTGGCCTTCCCCAGACTCTTGCCACAAAGGTGGAAGAACGCACTTATATACAAGTACACTGTCACCGAAAGTAAAAACATTCATTACTGTACCATATAAATAACTAAAATAAACTGCTCTTATAGAAAAAGCTGCATGCCAAATCCTATAAGGGTCTTCCTGTGCCCACAAAGCACCAATTGGTTCTTTTGTGGTCACATGCTGCCAATGAATACATTCTCAAGCAGATCAGTTGGGTGAAGAGGGGGAGGGAGACATCTGGGGTGATGTGAATAGCTTTGTCACAGGATTTTTCATTGCTGCTCCTCCAGACTTCACAGTGTGTTAGGGAGCAACATAGCGGTGTCACGTGACCACAGAATAGGTGCTCTCTAATATGGTATGTAGGTGACTTCTTTTGCTATGCAACCTGATATTTTTAAATGGATTTATTGACGGTTTAAGGCATGCTGACACCTAAAAACGTTTTATTTATTCAGGCATTTTTTTACAAATCTAAATGCAGCCCATTGCTTTTAATGGGCCTGTACACACAGGCTTGTAATCGTGTATTTTGTATAGATCCATTAAAAAAAAAATAC